TTTTTTCTTGGTTTCCCAGGGTCTCATGTACGTATTTACTTAATTCTTCAAACTTTTTGTTATACTTCTCATCCATTTCTATAAGGGTGTTTTTTACATGTTGTTTAAGGGACTCTATTGCTTTCATAAAGTCAATTTTTTCCACTTCTTCTGTGTTAGGGTGTTCAAGTCCTTCTGTTGTAAGATCTTTGGGTTCTTGTGTTTTCATGTTGTTTTTCAGATTATTGGGTGAAGTTCTGCCTTGGCGCCTGCCCATCTCCTCCTTTCAATGCTATCTAATTGGTCTTTTGATATCGGATCAGGTTTCTGTGCTGGCCAGAGGCTTCTCTTACTAATTGCCCTCGCTCTGTTTCCTGGCTCCTGCTGGGGGCCAAGAACCCTCTCACCCCTCAGAAGGGTTTTCAGAAACAAGACCCAGGTCCCCGTTTGCCAGGAACCTCGCCAACCAAAGGCCTACCTCTTTGATTTAATTGTAGTGGGGCAATCTGCTCTCGGTGTTGTGCGCTGGTCCCTGCCGCCTGCATCCTCTGCCACTTCACCAGTCCCCACCGGTCCTGGCTGCAGCCTGTGGCCTGCGTCACCCGCCTGCGTCGCTTGCTCCATCTGCGGGTGCCTGCGTCACTCACTCCGTCTGCCTCATTTAAGGATTCTTGTGTGCATTTTCCACAGGGAGCCCGTTCAGAAGAGGATACGGGATTTCAAAGGTGTGTTTGAGCATGTGTTCCTAGTCCTGGAGCTTTCTTTCTGACCCTACAACTCAAGTGTGATGAGAACGTGGTCACCAGTCAACAGGAGTCTGTTAACAGTTCTGTCACTCAGGGGATTTTTATTATTATTACTAATTTTTGGAGCAGCAAATTGCCAGTGTTCTTTAGGGGGTACCTTTAGCTTAACTTTTAACTAGCTGCTCTGATCTGGGGCATGTTGTAGCTTTCACTGAGGTGGTTGGAGAGTTTCCTGCTTCCTTCATTGCTGAAGAGTGTTACTGGAGATGGTGGGCAAGGAAGTTGATCTCTGCTTTTTATCTTACTGCACGAATGGCATGTGGCATTTCGGCAGCTGTTTTTCACCTTCTGAATTAAGTCACTTTTCTGGCTTTCCAAAGTTGCCCTCCTTCAGGAACCCCTGCCAAAGAAGGGCTTGGAGAGCAGCATTTAGGCCATACACATCTATGAGTCTGTTAGGGAATGGTAAAGGTAGCCACGCTGTGGCCCAGGAAGAAAAGTATGATTGCGTGCAAACATCATGCATGCCACACTAGCTTGTGGTCCGTCATCCATGGTAACCAAGTCAGTTTACCACATGCTCCTCAAGCTGAGGCAGCTTTTTTATTACTTGTATCGGTGACCCTAAAACAGCATTACTAGAGAGATTGTAAGTTCTTAGCCGGTGTATAGAGTCAGTTCATGTAATCAAGGATGTCTGACAGCATTCCTTCTTTGTGGTACACATGAACTGTTTGGTTTTTGAGGTTCCCAGAAAATGGTTTGTCAGTGGTGGTCACTCGTCAAAGCATGATGCCCCCCATGTCTGTATTCCTAGCCCTTGGGAGGTGGAGGTGGAAGAATTGGGAACTAGATCTCACCCTCGCTTACCTCTCAGGTTTGAGACTGGCCTGAGTTATGCAGACCCAGTCTAAAATTTAAGAAAATAAAAATAGAAAAAAAGAGAAAAACGAACATCATATCTGTACGTACTCCTTTCTGTTACCATGTGGGTGATGTGTCAGGGATGAAAGAGTACCTCTTCCTCTAGATATTTGATTTAAAGTGATACCATTTCCTTTGTCAACTAGGTGACACTACCCGATCCTTTCTGCTAAAGAGGAAGCAGTTGAAAAGGATATATATGCCTCTTTCAGAAGCCTGAATGCAAACGGAAGTCAAGGTAAAGTTGTAACCCCCTGTAAAGGAAACCTCTTCCTTCCAAAGTCACTTCTGCCTGCCATTGTGATCCTGCACTGAGTGGACTCACTAATGGGACCTAGGTAACACTGCATTTTCTCTATGAGCTAGTCCTGTCCATAGCTGGAGGACCGCCCCCCTCGTTTATGCCGCTCAGGTGTGTTAGCTGCAGCCAGACTGGTAAGAGGACAGCTCCTCACTTCTCAGATGACAATACAGATAATGTCCTGTAAGGAAGGCAAGTCTTCTGTGGTACTCAAAACTGTACCTTTTAGGAAGTGCCGTTAGTGTTCTCTTTGGTAAATTGCTGTACCCATGTGGGGAAAGGATTCTGTGCACTATTTGTGTATGTGACTCCCAGAAGATAAAGGGTATGTTGCCTTCAGTACATAGACCTGGGCTTTCAGGACCTCTAGGTTACGCCATAAGGGAAAGGGAAGATGAATCTAATTTTAAGCCAGAAATGCAATCTTGGGAAACGTATGCCTCGGAGCATCCTAGATGTTCAAGAGGGAAGGCATACAAAGTGACGACATTGGTAGAAAATTAAGACAAAGTTCTTCTGGGATGATAGTGATATTTCTGCCTCTCAGGAGACAGTTTAATTCATGTCCCCTTTCTCTCTTGTGCCTGACTCTTGTCTCATAATGTGAAGTGTGTGTGTCCTTGTCATACCCTCACACAGTGTGACAATGCTAAGTAATTGTGACTGTGTTTCACAGGCAAGAGCTTCACGCCATGCACTCCCAGATGTTTGAGTCCCTGCATCAGGCGTGGCTGGACGATGTGGAGAGTTCAAGGGACCAAGAAGAACACCTCGCTGTGAGTGTCGCTCTTAGCTTGGAATAGAGCCACTCTGTCTTGTTTCCAAAGATACAGCAAGTGGCCAGGGAAATGGACAGGACAGGAGGGAACATGAGCATAGGGAGACAGGGAGGTTGGTGCTTGTGGCCTGGAGAAATGCCATCTTATCCAGTTTGCTTCTTTTTCTGTGGAGGATTGGTGTGGTCATGGGTTAGGAGCCAGCATGGGAGGGAGGCTGAGTAGGTTCTGCATGGAGAGTGCAGGAGAAGGTATGGTCTTGGGTGCTCATAGGGGAAGCTTTATGATCCATACAGTGCAGATGCCAAACTGTGCAGGACAAGGTGAGGGTGGGGTCCCAGGTAGCCTTCTGACACAGTGATGAGGGAGGCAGAGTGAGAGCAGTCCTTGTGGCTGTGGCAGAGAAGGTGGAGGCTTAGCGTTCAGAAGTGGGCAAGTATTTATGGACACAGAGAAGTGCTGTCTTTGAGGAGTCTTTCATCCTGATGGAGAAGAGAGCGGTACTCCCAATGATGCTGACTTCCAAAAGTAGGGAAGCAGAGCCTGGAATCTGAGGGAGATGGAGACAGATTTGAGTCTGGCAGTGAGGAGCATGTTCTCCGGACCCCACTGCTTGCCATGCAGCCATAGTCCTGCTGCTTGCTCCTCATGAAAGCTCAGAAAATAAGTCACCTCCCTGCCTCAGCTTCCTAGGAGGGTGAAAGCAGAGCCGTGAAGAATCCCCGCCTTTCTAGACTTTGTGTATCGAGTGCTTGCAGTTTTTGACATGTTGCTGTGGAATGTTTGACCACAGTAGCTGCTGTATGTTTGCTATTCATCTTCCCTGCCCTTTTTATTTGGTCGATAATGTAGTTGATGGGATGTCACAATCTGGGGAATTATTGATGGATGAAGAACTTTTTTTTTTTTTGGGGGGGGGATTCCTTGAAAGCTAATCTGTGTCCTTTGTGTCTTAAACATTCTTTATGAAAACAAAGGAACATTTTGTACTTAATTTTGGTGAGTGAGGTGGGAATTCACAGATTAGGTGGGTCTTATGTTAATTTCAAAATGAATTATTATTTTATAGGATTTATGCACCAGCTTGATGGACTATCTCACTGTGACTGGTCAGGGCATGTTATGTTGCTTTTGGCAATGAAAAGCATGTCTTCAAATGCATTCTTGAAATGTCAGCACACAAACATTACAGGAAGAAATTCCTGTGAGCAGCAGGGTTGGATGTTCAGTTTTACTGACATTTTGTCATTATCTCCTATGTTTCAGCTTATAACTCGGAAGCAGATGAAGATTTTACAGAAAACTATAGGGGATCATAAAACCAAGATTGGATACTCTATAGATTTGTGTGACACATTTTTGAAGGTCTGGTAGATTTCAATTGTCAACAGAACACACCCTTATGCCATTCCACATATCTATAAAAGCGCAAGACAGATTGGCCCTCTCAGCTTGTGGACAAAGTAATTAGTTTTGCAAAGCATGATCACATTCTTTTGGGAATATTTTCCTCACACCTAGGAGAAATGCTAAGGTTTATTTGACCTGGGAAGTTGATGAGAGTGTTGAGGGCAGCATTCTAGCACAGGAGCTGGTGATGAGAGCTCTGCTTAGAGAGGATCACAGTGCATCGCAGTGATGAGTTATGGACCTCCGGTGACATTGCGATGGAGATTGGCACGTCTGGGGATCCTTCTGGTTTTCTCTGACTGTTTGGACTGGACAGATCAGTGAAATACACAATGGGCAAGGGTAGCTTTTATTTTCTTTCATAAATTTATAGTCTTCTGACATTAGCATTGTTCTCAAGTGTTGGTGGTCATGTATTTCAGCATCTCCCCAAGAGATGAGGGGAATAAAAAAGCTGGTAGAGGGTTAATCCTCTTTGAACAGCAAGCTGGCAATTGTATCCTTGCTGAAGCTCCAGGTCCTAAGTGACCTCTGTATATCCAGGGATTGAAGCAGCCCTTCAATGGGAATCCTTTTTGATGCTCGCATTAAAATGCTCTGTGAAAGATCTCTCCTTGGATCTGACTCAGATGCCTTATCTAAAGTGCTCAATGTGTCATAGTAAATTAAATGTTTTCAGGATGCTAGCAAGAAGATAGGTCTGACTTCACTGAGCAAGCATGAGTACCCCTGTTGGTACCCTAGTGAATATTTCTAGCAGCCGTGTATACTCCAGGAATGTGCCTATAAGCCCAGAGTGGTGAGGATAGAAACAAAAGGATTCCTGGGGCTTATGGGACCACCAGAACATCCAAATTTGAAAACCCTGTGTTTAGTGAGAGATTCTGCCTCAAAAAGAGATGTGGTGAAGGGTTTGGGAAGGTGCAGGCACACCCGAGTGTACATGTATGCATGCAAACATGTACATGCGAAGGAAATCACTTTGAATTTTTTTTTTATGTTTTCAATAAGTCTTTATTTTTTTATATCCTTTTTTTATTTTATTGAGAATAAGAAAAAAAAAGTTTCCGTGTTGAAATAGGAGCGGCAGGGCTGCGTCCCCGGCACCCGGCCGCCCGCATGGCTAGTTTATACCCAGAAATAATTCTCCTCTGTTTTCTCCACCCACCTAAGGGT